ATTTTGGAGGGATGACAGCCTTACTTTGCAGCATCTCTCTGTTCTTTTGAGTGCAGCCCATGTTGCAATCCTAAGCACTCTTACATGGCAATTAGCCACACGGCAGCTAATTGCACTTACTTCTGCATCATACACACTATCAGCTTATTAGTTAACCACTGGATACTTAGACCTGCATCACTAACGTAAAAGGTTGTGGTTTCATTACAAACGAGAGGGTTGTTGCCAAAAATATGAACTTATCAATTTTGGAGTATGAATTGGTCCAAACGTAACCTGCAAAATGCACACCTGTATTATGAATTGAGCACCATTTCCCACAAATGCTCCCACCATGTGCCCTCCAAAAGTCCTTCTCCAGCTCAAAACACAGAAACGAGATTCTGCAGATGCATGGCCAGTGGACAAGCCAGCAGCTTTATGGGCACTTACGGAAAAGTCATATCCCTGACTCTCACAAAACTCTTGTAATTGGTTGCTGGGGAAACTGCAGAAACTACAAACTACTTTGGAGGTCCACGCACAAAACGTATTTATTGTGAAGCCTTTACTCTCTTGCCATAAAGCCCTTACTCTCTTGCTAATTGCTATGAACTCTGTCCCCAGACCCCATACAAATCTACAGCTCTCTTGTTCTCAGGCATGCTTATTTTATGAAGCGAGTGGCAAGGAAATCCAGAGTGGCTCTTCACCAGGGCTGATGCTTAAAGCTACAATTACCAACACTGTAAGGCGGAAGAGAGGTTACGGAAGATAAATGGTTCTCCCTCCCCCCCCCCAAAAAAAAACCCATGTCAGTACTTGCTATGAAAAGTGTTAACTACCAGCTCGATTTCATATCAAGCTGAGGAGGAAGATAAGGAGGTAACTTGAACTTTACAACACTGCGGCAGCTAGGCTATATTACACCACAAACACATGCACACTTGTCCTGTTGCAAGGGGGGCAAGTTAAGGAGATTTCACCTCTCACTGACTTTTGCTTCTTTATTCTGAAATTGAACCAATGCAGAGAAGGACAAGCCTCAGGGCTATTCAGGTCAAGCAATTCATATTAAGACAGTCGGTATTGTCTAGTACAGGGGTCGCCAACGTGGCACCCACAGGTGCACATGCACCCAAAGAGGTCTTCCCTTTCTTCACATTGCTGGAATAGGCTTAAAAGAAGCATTCTGATGTAACAATGGAATAGGCTTGAGTGTGTGCCAATGCGTGTGTGTGTGTGTGTGTGTGTGTGTGACACTCACAACAAGTTTCTTCGGTGTGTAAATATGTCCATAGGCCCCCAAAAGTTTGGCCACTGCTCATGTGGCAGGCCAGCTAAGAGGCTCAGGAATCACAGGTTGTGAGTAAGCTCTGTTATGACCTTTTAAACATCAGAGAACATATCAGAACCTCTGATTGTCTGATCACAAGCTGCTTCCCTCAATAGCTGAGCTGTACAAATCAATAAGTGTGCCTTCCTTCACACTAACACTGGAGATGTGTTTAGTGTAAAGCATATAGGAACCTGGCATACTATGCTCCAAAGCCCTCCCCTGCCTCAGAATGTGGCGTGATCCATCTTCTTTCCCCATATTTACCAAAATGTGTGGTCAAGACACATTTGTGGTTAGGACTCATCAGTCTCACTCACAGCAGGATCAATGAGGCTGGAGGTGACATGCCCTCCCATGGGCAAGAACTGCAAGCCCCACTTTAGATGTAGCAGCACAAGGAAATCTCATTGACATGAATTGTCTTTTCTCTGCTTGCATGTAACACACGGATGCAGGTCCAGGAAACAAATGCAGACTTCCAAGGCTCTCCCTCCCAAGACACAACACCTCTTTCCAGGCAATGTCTCCTATCAGAGCTGCTTTGTTTCCTCCTTGAGTGATTTTGCCTGGCTGGAATGCGTCCTTGAACTCTGATAATGCCTCTTGCTTGTCTGGATGGGAGATACAGAGGAGTGTCTAAGTGTGTGTAGACTCAGGACTGTGGTGGTGGGACACAGGGAACCAGTCTATGCAAAGGACAAGCTGGAAGATGCCAGATGCAGAATGACTGAGTGATCAAGGGGGTTCAGAAGAAGGAGGCCCTTCCAGGACAGGGCTGGGTGCTGAGTCTCTCAGTATGAGTGCAGACTCAAATAGAGAGGAGTCAGAAGTTGCCCCTGCTGCCCAACAGCTAGGCAGTCCCAGGCCTGCTGGCTCTCCTCCTCCCCGACACACTGCTTGAGGGGAGTCCTGCATGTTGCTGAGCAACAGGCCAGACGGGCCCAGAGAAGAAGTCCACCCCTCCACTGCTTTCTACATCTGCTTGGGAGAGTGAGAGGCTAGAGGGGGAAGGCGGGGCGAGTGGTCAGTTCCAGCAATGTCTTCATCTAAGTGAGATGAGCCAGAGGAACTCTACTGTGTTGTTTAGTTTCTGTGAATAAAAGCTAATTGCATTCCATGTCTCAAGTTCTTTCCTGACCTGTGGATGACCTGTACTTGCCTGACAGCTCCTTGACATCTGCCCATTTTCATTTCTGGGCTACCTTCCCAAGTTGACAAGCTCTACCTGCCCCTTACTTCCCTCTACAGCACAGGCAGAAACCACCTTCTTGACCATTGGACCCACTACTGGTCATCTCTGCTCACTCCCATTGACTACCCTCACCTGGTTAGCTAGCCAGTCAAAGCTGTTTCTGCTGTAACATGCTGACAACCTCTAGGAGCCACAGGTGAGAGTTGAGTGCAGGGTGGGGACCAAAGATGGACAAACTACCCAAGAAAGAGCATGATGTGTCCCTCACCAGAGGTACCCCTCCTCCCCTAGTATCCCATATACTCCAACAGTACTCAACAATATGACTGTGCTAAAAGCTCACTCTAGGAATCATTATGCTTTAAAAAAATCTGTGGGTGTTATCTAAGACACAATCATTTTTTTTCATCTGCACAGCTGCACATACACACACAGTGCAAGCAAGAACAAAACAAAACCCAAAACCCACAGACATATTTGAAACTGATAGAGCTGGAGATGAGGGCAACAGGGAAATATCAGCATGGGATGGAGTTCTGTGTCGCCTTAAGGAGGACTAATCATTCAGTCACACAAGCAATTTTCATGATGCCTTGTTCAATAAAATAGAAGTGCCCTCCTATCTTGTATTGCCATGGTTACGGGAGAAGGGAGCGAACGTATCTGATACAGGCAGGAACTTCCAACTAAAAAACTCTCAAAACTACTCCCCTCCTTCCATTATTATTTTACCACTTTAAAAAGAATCCAGAGACTTGTCTCAGAAAGGATAACACATACAGAAGAAGGTGGAAACTAACTAATAAGAACAGACTTCAGGGGGCTCTTAGCATGGTGCTGTTGACGGCCCCAGAACCTCCCCAAAACATGCAATGCAACTGCACTTTTTTGTGTGTGTTGCTGCCACTGCCACAATAGCACCAGCAACATCACTTACAGCCACCCTCACTGAGTTTCAGGGTGGCATTTTAGTGGTAGATTTCATTGATGTATGGGCGGGGCAATTTAAAAGGTGTTTTGGGGGGGGAATTAATGGTGAAAAGCCATGGCATATAGGAGCCAAGCTTGACACCCATTCACAAGCAGCAGCACTGTCCACCCACTGCTAAAATGGCAGTACAGGGATCCCATAAGGAAGAGAATAAGGTAACAGAGCTGGGTTGGGCCAGCTGGGGCCCTTCTGAGCTGCTGGGGTCATTGGCCAGTACCTGACCAGAGACTGGGAACCAAAAGGCAAAAGAAAATTTGGTTAACTCTGTGGAAACATTTTATTCTAATATGCAATTAACACTCAGCATTAATGGATTTCAGTAAGTGAGCAAGTAGAAAGTTCTGTTCACCATCTCAGCTGTACCATGCCATTGATTATTAACAGATTAACAGAAAATAGAATCAAGATGGAAACCAGAAGAGTTAAGGGCAAGGTAATTTGTCCTCAGCTGTCACCCACATGTCCTTTGTTTGTTTGCGAGTCAGTTTTCGTAAGTAGGGTTGACAAGAATACAGATCAAGGCCATAATGGTTCATTTATTATTTCCGTGAGTGGGATATGAGAGTGTTAAGCAGAGCAGAGGACCATCAGACCCTGATGGAATAATTTATAGGATGACTGCACCGTACAAACAGGAACAGTTTGGATAAGTGTGTTGCTGCCCGATATCACTCCTGTTTATAGTCGGGCCATTTGATATCAGCAACATGCTGGCATTCTAATGAGGGACAAAATAAGATGACGCACAAAGCATTAAAACCCCCTTCTCCTGAAGATGGACCAAAAGCTCAAGTTTGGGAATCCTCTGAAAAGCAGGGCCTTCAAAAGCTTGATTTTACAAGACCATCCAAGCCAGCAAACTAGATACTGAACTAGTTAGATCTTTAAAAAAAATCCTAGCACACTAAATACATTTCGGCAAGGACTGAAAATAGTGAGTCAGAGGATAAACAACAACAGGAGTCCATATAAAATCTAGACTGGTAGCCCACACTCAAAAATGGGCAAGGAACCTCAGGCTTCTCTGTCTGGTCCTCAGGCCACGTCAATCCCCAGGCCATACTACTTTCCCTCAAACCACACCACCTCACAGGCCCCCTTCTGCACCTGTCTAGAATGCTGAACTGTGATAATGTCTCTTGTTTCCCTGATGGAGGATGGAGAGCTGTAGGGGAGTTGTTTAGTACAAAGGAAAGAGGACATTTGCTCTTTCTGCTGCCCTCTGGCCCCAGAAGGTTGTTCAAAAGGGAATGTGGGCCAAGGTAGGAAAGGGTGTATCAATTCTGTTCTAAAAGGGAAAAGGATGTACCCAGTGGCTGAAGATCAGGCCAGCAAATGTAAGAACACTGTTGCCATATCAGTTATGAGCACATTTCCTGTGATTGGTTAGTTGCTATGCATGCAAATAACAGGGGAGGAGTGCTTTCGTGACACCAACAGTCACTCCAACAACATTCACACTCAAAACTGAGCTCTCTGGTATTTTCCTTACGTTTGAGCTGAGGGTAGGGATTGGTGCTATGACCATTTTTGTCACAAAGGCAAAAGAAGAGGGAAGCAATGTTTCTTCTCCAACGCAGATCCCAAAAGTAGAGCCACTGTGCTTCTCTACCCTGTGTGATAGATTTTAAGCAGAGATATCACCGAATTTCTCCTAACTCTATGGCATATTTGGCACATATTTGGCATAACATCCAAAGAAATCTGAAGAAAGCCAAAGGATTTGGTAAGATGCTGGTTCCTACAAGAGGAGTGGGATATTATTATATAGGTTTTGCACTGGCCCAGAATACTACATCATGATCTAAAGTGCAGCCAAGCCAAGCCCCAGCTTCCCAACAGTAATCTCTTTCCTTCCGTTTTGAAAGCTAAATGCACTTGTGTTTCCAAGCACCAATATAATTGCCTCAAGTAAAATACAACTTGGCAAATAATTTACATTGCAAGATTGTGAACACTTAAGTGCAGCGATAAGCTTCCTGGCAGGATCAACTAATGCAATCTTACCATTACATGGATCTGCATTGCAAATTGCTCTTTGGAAATCATAATATATTTGTTCAAGAGAAGCTTAAATGGGATGCTTGGATATTCAGTAAAGTCTGCTTGCTTCATCATTGTGATATATAACACACACAAGCACACACTTTCTAGGAAAGCAAGACAAAAGTTTCCCTCTTGAATTAATCTTGTTGAGAAACTCATGTTGCAAGTATGGTGCCAGGGCCTTACGATTTCTCTGAAAAATATATTGTTGTGCCATGCCTAGAAACTTTAAGGGCTGGCTAAGCTTATGGATATCATAATTTCACCTGAAAGTCCCAGTGGGCATTCAGGTATAGTAGAAAAGGCTTTAATGGTCCTTAATGGCTTAGAATTTTAGGCCTAACTCTGCTCCTGACCATAGCTTTTCACCTGCCACTAAAGTCTCCCCTGAACAGCCTCCCGTTGGAATCCCTTTTCCTTGTGCATCCTGCCTTTTAGCTCATAAACCTGAGGGCAAGGATTGACTCATTCCTGATCTTTGTAAGCTGCTCTGCAAGCCTTTTCTTGGCTGAAGAGCCGGCTAAAAATGCTTTAAGCAAATAAACAAAACAAATGAAACAGTACTTCCCTTTGTCCATTCTGAAGCTACTGTCAATCAATTTTATTGGGTGGCCCTGAGAACTTTTGGAAGACTGTCAAAGGTATTTCACGCCGCATCATCCATACGTTACAGCATCATCATCACATAACACAGGGGTGCCCTTGTGTGTCCCTTCCTGTCTATTCCAAAGAGAGACAAAGCAGCCCCAACATCACGGGGCAGTTGTAATGCTCTTTCCCACGAATTTGATGGAGGAGGCTGCAATCCAATGCACAGTGACCAAGGAGGGAAGTGAAAAGAACAGCTGGCATATCATTGGGCTGCATGCATTTGCTCAGGATTTTCTGTCACAAGAGGTCGGGTTTCTTCCCAGCATCCCTTGCAAGGCTCACAAGCAGAGCTGTAGCAGCCAGGTGTCAGGGACTAGCAGGCTCCAGGGAGTGGGTGTAGCCAGAAGATGATCCAGGGGATATGGGTAGCGATTTATGGGGTTTTGTGAGGAATGATAGGACGCACCAGGAGTTGAGGGAGAGACGATGCCTGAAGGGAGGGGGCTGCCAGAATCGCCTCTGTTTCCTCCCCCGCTGTCCACTAAGACCAGAAGGGACTTGAAGACACAGTGGCAACTTCCATGTAGAAGCTCCAGGTTGCTTAGGCCCACACTGTCAGGCAAGGGTACTTAAGTTTTGCAAGTGGGCATAGTCCCACCATTGCTCAAACAGTCCAGCTCAGAGCACAAGTCTGGAGAGGGGCACTGGCTACCTAGCCACCAGAGAGGTGTTTGTGTGTTTAGTGCGCCAAAGAACTAAACTACCAGCTGTTTGTCCTTCTTAGGCTGGGTGTTCTCAGGACACCAGTTTTACAACTTGCCGCAGACAAGCAGTTGCCTTTGAGACAGCCGAAAGAAGATGGTGCTGCAGGAGGAGAAATCTTCCTCGTGGCAGAGAACCAGCCTAGGGGCTTTTGTTTGTCCATATGAACTGAAGCATTTCATCTCTGTTACTCACGACAACAAAGAAGCTGGTGAGGGTTGCAATGATTATTTTCTTCATATAAAGAAAAACAGGGTACAAAATGGATTATTATTATTCCATAGTGTAAAATGGATTACTTTATAGGCTCCTGACAATATCTTTCATGTACAGTCATTTGTCTAGTTTATGAAACTGTTGTCCATATCATTTTCTCCAAAGCTTTTATCTCTTATAATGGTATTCAGCCAACCCTCAAAATGACTGCTTTCTCAGATGCTCTTTCTATTGCTGCTGTGCTCCAGGACTTCTGCTTAGAAGCCTCGCCAACCTCTTTTCTATCTCCTTTCCACCCTCCATTCATTTTCTACACTGCGTTGGCTGTGATCCAGAGAAAGGAATAAGGTGGGTCAAAAGAGAGAGAGAGAAATTCTCTCATGGAATGGCAGCAACAGAAGTAGGAGGAGGAGCCGAATGCAAAAAGAAATGAATTATTCCCTAACTGAGCTACCCCTAGCTGTTGGAGCAGGTGACCTGCAAGATGAGAAAGCTAGCAGGCTTTGACCTTGAATATATGAATGGAGACGATCAATCCCTGTGCTATATAAATAATAAATGCTAATAACTTTCCATAAATAAATGCCATCAGCTATTTATTTGTGCAGGGGTTCGGGGGAAAGGATTTTGAACACAATGAAATGCAACCCAATGAGCAGCTTGATAGAGAGGTAGAAAGAGATCTTGATGCAGCCTGCAAAGATCAAACAAACTGGTTGAGACTCTTTTCTTTCAGTTAGCAACTGTGGTTCGTGTAAACCTGAGACACATTATTAACTACAGCATAGATCTAGACAATTTGAAGCTACCTATCCACATCACATTTCAGGATTTTGTGACAAGCCATCTCTAGAGATGCCAGGGATTTAACTTAGAACCGTCTGCAAGCAAAGTAGATGTTCTGTCACAGGAATAGGAGCCTTCTCTAGATTCTGGGATTGAAGAGGCAAGGGAATCTGGGAGAGGAGGAATTGAGGCTTTGAAAGACAGCAGAACAATGAAAATGGTGCAGGAGGGGGTGTCAGGAAAGTCTGGGCAATCTAGATGAACGATGAAAAGAAGGGAAGGACCTAGGGAAGGAGTGGAGGAAGCAACTGAAAGAGGAGAGGTGGACATAAGCTGAAGAAGTGAGCAAGCTCACATAACAATTTGAAATAAGTAGACCAATAGTAGTTAATATGGTGCCTTCCAGATGTTTTGAACTACAGCTCTCATCAGCCTCAGCCTGCATAGCCAATGGCCAGGGATGCTGGGAATTGGAGTCCAAAAAACCTGGAGGGCACCAAATTGGCTGCTCCAGAAGCCACATCTTTGGTTGCTGGTATCTATGGCCAACTAATAACAGTGCAATATGTGAATCTGCAAAAAGAGCAGGATATGTATAATCATTGTCTGAGAGGGATTTTTTTTATTAAAAAAAAGGTAAGAGAATGTACTGAAAGTATGGGGGATTTTAACAAATGCAGTGCAAAAAATAATGTGTGTTACATATATTCTTATCACACCAAAGTGTGCCACTGAAATGAAGGTTCTGTTGAAAAAATAAAGTTCATCAGTTTGGCTCTTTTCCTTAAAAAGGGTATTTATAACTATGTCTTATAGGTCATTAAATCCAGCAAAAGAAGCAGTACTTATTCCCACAGAATATTTGTCAACATTTGGGGGCTATTTTAACATAGTATATATTACCCAAATTTAGTTTCCTTCTCTGCCACATCCCCTAAACAGTATGTCAGTTATACTGGGCAGCCATGGGGAAAAACTCCTGGCAAAGAATTAAAGTACTAATCAGTTTTTGCTAATTGAGGTTACCTAAATCATGGTATACAGGGACAACAAATTACAAAGGTGACTATGGCATTCAAAACACATCTGTTAAAGTCAAAATTAATGGATATGCAAAATTAAGTTCACTTTCTTATCGATTTCTCACAAGCTGCACTCAACTCTAGAAAGAGCCATCAAAGATGATCATCAATTAGATGTCAGCAACGAATGCCTCAAAAAGCAAACTGCTAAGCTTCCAATGATATAGTCCAATTAGATCCTAATTATTTACAACCTGTCATTGGAGTCAATGATGGGAAAGGAATTCCTTTGGTCCATTTTTCACAGTGGACTAACTTGATGCTACCAAAGCCCTTGCAGATCACAATGAAATTCCCAGTCAGATTATGCACTTCTCTAGATTTTGCATTTCAGTTTTGGTGCACAAACGGTGCATATAAAATACATATTTATGCAAAAAAGTGCATAAAATGCATATTTTATGGATGGAAGCATTGAAAACTGCGTATTCTACCTAAGAAGTGAACAATTTAAATGCAAAAGCAATCACATGACGTAGTGTGCACACACACTATTTGAATGGCAGTGCCCATCAACTTTGGGGGGGCTCAGCCCCCTCAAATATTTTATTGTAGGGGCCAGAGCCCCCACGGCCCCTAGGAGTTGGCTTCTATGTTCAGGTGAACCTGCAGGTGAATCACAGCACAGCACTTTAGAATTGCAAGCGGGGTAGAGAAGTTGCCCCACCATAGCACTCAGGTGCTCTGAGTTTCAGAAATCCACCACATGTGTTTGCATGCAGTAAGCTTGTATGTGTGGCCTGTAGCAGTTTGAAATTTGTCCAACCTTCAATGTGGCCCTCCGGCTGAAAGGGGTTAGCCAACTCTGTCTTAAAATTCCTTTCCATAAATCGAAAACTTGGGAGTGAACCCTTTCAAAACTTTAATTGTAGGCAACCCCCAATTTGTGCAGGGGTTGTGTTCCAGGTCATCATGTGCAACAGCAAAGTGCATATAAGCCCATTCTTTTTGGGGCACTTGCACATCGCTGTGATGCACACGCTGGCGGTTGCACATCAATTGGACACGCATAAATCGGTCATTGCCTGTATATGTATGTGAAGCTGAAAAACAGAATGAGTTCCTCGTTATCTGCTTAAGAAAAAAACAGTTATGGACCACTGGTATGAAGTTTACGGCATGCAATGCCTTAAAAGAGAATTTAATGAAAATGATTTATAGGTGGTACATAACACCAGTCAAGCTTGCAAAAATCTATCATTTGCCTGATAATAAATGCTGGAAATGTAATGAAACTGAAGGTACATTCTTTCACCTTTGGTGGACATGTCCAAAGATTAAGGCATTCTGGGAGATGACCTATAATGAAATGAAAAAGGTATATAAATATACCTTTCTGAAGAAACCAGAGGCCTTTCTCCTGGGCATGGTCGGCCAATTGGTGCCAAAGAAAGATAGAACTTTCTTTATGTACGCTACAACAGCAGCAAGAATACTTATTGCAAAGTATTGGAAGACACAAGATCTACCCACCAGGGAAGAATGGCAGATGAAGCTGATGGACTATATGGAACTGGCGGAAATGACTGGCAGAATTCGAGACCAGGGAGAAGAGTCAGTGGAAGAAGATTGGAAAAAATTTAAAGTATATTTACAGAAATATTGCAAAATTAATGAATGTTAGTAGGATGCTGGAATGAAGTTATATGGTTTTAGCAGAAATGTTATAAAGAATTAAGTAAAAATAGATTGTTAATGGACCGAAGTGGAAAATTTAAGGTTAGAGTCTCTTAAGTTAAATTTTAGAATGAAAATTGAGAAAGATGGAAAGGACTTGCTGAAATAGCTAATTGAACTAGAATACAAAAAAGGGAGGTGTGAGGAGGTCGATGAAACAAGTATATGAAAGGTAAAGATATGGAAAGGTTGGATGTGTTTTTAAATGTTTTTGTTCCACCTTTCTTTGTTGTTTTATTGTATTGTTTTATTTTTTCTTTGATGTATTGTAAGGTATTGTTTTGTCTTGTCTAATCCTTTATTGTTTTCTTTTTCTGTTTTTTTATTCTGTAATTTGTAAACTCTTAATAAATATCTTTATATATATATATATATATATATATATATATATATATATATATAAGCCCATTCTTTTTGGGGCACTTGCACATCGCTGTGATGCACACGCTGGCGGTTGCACATCAATTGAACACGCATAAATCGGTCATTGCCTGTATATGTATGTGAATTTGAAAAACAGAATGAGTTCCTCGTTATCTGCTTAAAAAAAATATTCCAGTCCTTGCCTTCACATCCCCCTTCATTTCGCATTCATGAGGCCTAGAAATGTACTTCAGGATAATCAAAAAGATTCAAAAATGTCTTTGGGACTGGAAGCAAGTTACAGTAACACCTTGTCCTTCCCTGTTCTACACTAAACTACATCAAAACTTAGGGGTCCTCTCCAATTTTTCACCATCTAGAAATGCACTTCACGAAATGATACATACTTTTAAAATCTCTCACACGCATTTGTTAAGGACTTTTGAAGGCTTTTAACCTGTGATAATAGAAAGTACAACAAAATGTACTTTGTAATGCTAGTGTAGGCACTTTGACTGGAAGGTAATCCAGATACAAAATACATAAATTATTGCTGGAGCATAAAAATGGCTGTCTGAAAAAAGTAGTTTGTACAGAAATAACTGGCTAATGGCAATTCCTATATGCAAATAGTCAACATAGGCTCCATCTGCACTATATATTTAAACAGTAGGGGTTTTTTTTCTTAAAAAGAATGTTTAGGGGTACTCTCATTTTGACTCAAGAAAATCACCATTTTATAGTTCAAATTGGGAAAAATAAATACAGTAAATGGACAAAAGTACAAAGATTCACAAAATGTTTAGGGGTATGTGTACCCCTGCATACCCTCAGAAAAAAGCACTGCATTTAAAGCAGTATCATACCGCTTTAAACAGTCATGGCTTCCCCAAAATAATCCTGATAATTGTAGTTTATTGTTGGTGCTGAGGGCTGTTAGGAGGCCCATATTCCCCACACAGAACTACAACACCCAGACTAGTTAAACAAAAAATTCTTCTTCCTAGGGAACTCTGAAAAGTGTAGCTTTTCATAGAAAGCTGAACAGTGAACAGTGTATATGGTCACCGACAATCTCACACTAGAATCATGGACCAATTCTCTTCCCTTTAAAGCAGAACCCTTCCTGTATATTTCACCATATTATGTAGTATGGTTGATGAACTTTAAGCTAGAATCCTGAACTGTAAAGTTCCTTCCTCATCCTATATAATTGCATCTAATTTTTTCAGCTGAGTTTATTTCTGGGTGTTGTCTATACAGTAGTACCTCAGATTAAGTACTTAATTCGTTCCGGAGGTCCGTACTTAATCTGAAACTGTACTTAACCTGAAGACCACTTTAGCTAATGGGGTCTCCTGCTGCTGCCGCGCCGCCGGAGCACGGTTTCTGTTCTCATCCTGAAGCAAAGTTCTTAACCTGAAGCACTATTTCTGGGTTAGCGGAGTCTGTAACCTGAAGCATATGTAACCTGAAGCGTATGTAACCCGAGATACCACTGTATTTCCTTACACTGGGCCTTGTTTTTGTTTTTTAAAAAAGCTTTGAAAGACCATTCAATCCACTATGCTGAGAATAAAAAGCAGCCATGTCTTACATAAATACCTTTATATTTCTTGTTGCATAACTCAACTAACACCTCCCATTAGATGTTAGCAATCCTCCAGGTCAGGATCTGTGATGTTGTTGCTGGGGGAGGTTTACCAGAACAAAACAAGTACATACAGTAGAATCATTTGAGATCTGATATCTGTTCTTCGCGCAGTTGGCTGGGAACCAGGGCATCACTCTGCAGCCTCCAGATAAATATAGATTTGTATATACACATTGAAGAGCTAAAATCTGGAATATGATTCTTCTTCAGTTCTTCCCACCAGCTTTTCCATCTATGAGTATACATCCTCGTGTAAAAGCACAACTTGTAGAATGTGGTCAACAGCAATTTTTCTTCACGTGACTTTAGCACCATATTCTTAATTCTGCTTTCGTTTACTAAAGTTTACTTTAGTCATTTTAAAATAAATCATGAAATGTTGTCTTCATTACCTACTTGCAGGCTTCCCACAAGCATATGACTGGCCACTGTTGGAAAAGCAGGATACTGTAGTAGATCAGGAGTGGTGAACATGGTGCCCTTTCGATATTGTTGAATTACAACTCCCATCGGCCCTAGACAACATGGCCACTGGTCAGCGGTGATGGGAGCTAGATTCCAACAGCCACATTGGCTACCCCTAGGCTCAATGGACCCTTGCTTTTCTCCAGCAAGCAGGGATGGAAGAAGGCATACATTTCCATTCCAGACTGTATTTGTCACATGCAGCACCATTTCCATTCTGCTACAGTCCACCCTCCATCAAAAACCACATTATTCGTCTGGCTGTATGCTGTGGTGGTAGCATGTAAATTATGTATTTTATGTAATTAATTAGGAAACCTATGGTGCATAAGTTACATAACCATTCCATTATTCCACATCATTCATTTCAGTGCAAAGGAAACACAATGCAAATAATAGAGTGGAATCTACTCAGTTACATATCGTTTCTGGACTCAAAGCAACAACAGTGAATACTGATCATATTCACTGGATTGATTTCCATTCCGAATATGGAGTGAATAAGCAAACACCAATAAATTCCACTCCCAGAATCCTCTGATATCCTTATTTGGCCTGCACATTTCTAGAGGCCAACAGGTTGTCTTTAGGATAGACTACCTTCCTTCAAAGCTAACTGGAAGAAATAGAAGAATCCAGGAAAAGGATAAAAATGAAAAAAGCGCACAACATCCAGGGGAAGGTATGCCTAGAAATGATAGGAAACAAAAGGTATTTAACTGGCTTTACATTTATGGGGGGCGGGTGGCAGGAATCAATGTAAACATATATTCAGAGAGTTTGGACAAGGGAGAACAACTTTCCATTTACAAGATTGTTTTTCCAATGATGCAGTTCTTATAAAACATTAGGCACAAATCAGGGGTGAAATTTTTACTGGTTTACAAGCAGGGACTAAGCCGTGTGTAGAAATGAAGTAGACAAAGAAATTCTTTCTACTGTGATATCAGCGGGACAACGTCTGCAATTAGCTGCTTTGTTTTTAAATAGAAAAAAGTGAGATAGACATTAACAACAGCAACTGGAAACAGAGATGAAGTGCGAGCGCATGCCTTTTCTCCAACAGTGTTTCCTGCAGTGGCTTTCAAATATGCTCTTTTCGCATTGACATCTCAGCTGCCATGAAACCTCTTGGTACACAAGAAGATTTGAGGGCAGGGTCGGCTAACCTGCAGCCCACAGCCTGTATCTGTTGAGATCCATTCTAGTCTTGTTTCAGGCCTGTCCATGGGAATGAGTTGTGCTTGGTCTTCCAGATGGATGAGCTTTCTAGAGAGTAGTGACCTTGCTCCTGCTTTTTGATCTCTCATTGGCTTTTGATATCACTGCATGCTTTTTATGCATGTAAGTGCGAGTCAATGACTGTATATTACAGCAAATGTGATGGAGAGAACCGGGCAATGCAAGCTGCTATTCTTTACTGATTGTTCTATGAAAAGCAAAAGACAGAATTTTTACACCTCACTGCTGAAGCTTTCAGTATTTCAGAGAAAGATGAAAAGGGAATGAATGCTAAACTTAAACTTGGCCCCATTTTTTTTCAGGTTAAAAAGCTGGGTCCTGGGTCTGAAGGCCACTCCCAAGCTAAGGGGGGGGGGTTGCGGGCTCACGCCCCCATCCCCATTCTCACGGGGCTGGCGCCAGCCCCGCGAGATTTAGAGATCCCATTATTCATGTCCGGCAGCGCCAGCCAATGGGCGGGCGTTGGGGGCGGGCCCACCGGAGGGCACTTAAGGTCAGGGCAGCCCGGGCTCGCCCCTTTTCCTCCGCTTCACCAGCCGCAGTTTCCCACCCACCCGCCCTTTAGGTGTGCATTTGGACTTTGCTATGGGCTTCGGCTGGTCGCCGCAAGGGGCCTGGTAGGAGTTTTTCCATTTGGCTAATTGGCTGAATTTTGAAGCCACTTGGTTTTTTCGCCTACCTCGTAGCAAAACGTCACAACTCCTTGGTTTTGGCGGTTAGGCATTGGCCAGGGTATTGTTATGCAAATGAGGTCGGGGGGGGGAGGTTCGCCATCACCTTCCCCAATTCTTGAAGGGTAGTTCGTTAAAGGACTCCGGGGGGCGTCGCCTCGTCCGAAACCTACGGAGGCTAGGGCCTAAAGCGCGCCCCCGAGCGGTAACCCCTCGGGGAGCACCTAGGGATGTGCATCTCGGGGGCTCCCCCTGTCGGTGCTTAACCCTTCCCGGTTAGACCGGATAGTCTGTTAGGGCCAGTGCCTAAGGCCAATACCGCTCTTACCTGTAATCAATAAAGTTGTGGCCATTTTACGCCCATTAACCTAAATTTTGGTGTCCGTTGTCTTTATTTATTCCATCTGGGGTGGGCGGGTATCGCCACGCAAAAGGTTGAACTCTACAGCAATAGAATGACCAGCCCACAACAGTAAGCTAAACCAATGAGATCAGTGACATCAAGGCCACCTCCCATTTTCATGATAAATGCTCTTTGACACCTAGTGGCCTCCACTTGAAGGCCACCTGCAAACTCTGCCCTTCCAACTGGCAGTGATTACCATTTGTTGTCATATCAGTTAGTTTAGCAGGAAAAAGCAAAGAGTTCCTGTGTTCTCATAACACTGAACCATGATTTAGCTTTATGAGAATGAGCTGCAATGAACTTTGGGCTCCCTGGCTCCCCCTCCTTTGGCACAGCCACAAGGAAGAGATTACTTCTGCTTCAGATTAACCACATTTGTTGAAACAAGCCAATTTCATAAGCTATGGTCTGAAGCTAGCCTATTTCAACAAACAGTAGTTAAGATAAATGGCAGTTTGTTTGAGTTCAACAAGCTGTACTTAATCCAAAATGGAAGCGAGAGCTTCTGAACTCTTCTTCACAGTCACACTGTGCAAATGCATCCATTGCTTTGAAAACTAAGCCCGTATTACATGGCTTCAGTACCTACAAACATCAGAAGCGACATTAACCCATTTTGAAAAGGAGCAGTGCAGAATCTGAGAGACTAGAAGGATTCTTTATTGAGTCTGACTTAGGTTTATTTCTCTTAACTTGTCAGAAAGGGGCATAAGCCTTTTTCATACTTTTACTAAAGATAGCTTATTAAGTGCTAAATTTTAGCAAATACAGGATTTATCTGCCCATTTCAGCAGGCACCTACATTAGTGTTCACACAGCAAAACACAAAGCAACAAAAGAGAGTTAACCTTTTATAGCTTCTGTTTGCTCTGAATAAAATCACTTTTCTTATTAGTGTGGCTAAAAGCTCTACCGACAGTAAAGTTTTAACACACAAACTGTGCATTCCATTTTATTACTGTGTATACTTTCTGAAAGCATGCCTTCCTGCATCACCACAAACATTTAAGATCACATCTAATACTTTAGATTTTAAGTGACTATCCAAGATGAGATAAATAGTGCTTCAGGATTAAAGGAACTTAGTGTAAATAGCTGGTGACAAACTGAGGCCGGAACTATGCATTACTAAAGATGCCCTGAAGATATCTTCCATTTCCATTTTCAGGCTGAAACCAGTTTTTTTCAGATAACAGTCCTTTCATTGTGAGAATGCTTTCCCCCCAATCCTATCTGATGTCATTGTTTTCCCTATCTGCTGTGTCTTTGTTATTATTTTCCAGATTACCATTTCAGTCTGCTTCAGAGATGGGGAAGCACAGGCCTGGAGGGTCACATGTAGCCCTCCAGATCTCTCTGTCTGGCCACACCCCCTTTCCCCAGGCCACACTCCTCACCTGCCCTGCCTTAGACAATCCATGAGTGCTTCTGCCTGCCTGGAATGTGCCCTTGATCTCTGATAATGCTTCCTGTTTGGATGATGGAGGATAGAGATCGGCTTGTGAGTGTGTGAAGAAACTAGCCTACTGCACACAGGTAAAATGTGCATTTGCTACTTCTGCCTCTGACTCCACCAGCCACTGGCATGTGGCCCCTAGAAGGTTGCTTCAAAATGGCTTTTTATCCTAGCAACTACATGGGCAACTGATATGAAAGGTTTCCCCATCTTAGGGAGAAAGTAATGCCTTTGTGACATCATCTGCAGGCATTACACCACTCCCCACCAATGGACAAGAATTCTGAGATGTGGGGATTGGTGCATTGGCTAGTGATGTCACAAAGGCAGTACTTTCTCCAAGCACAGCCGCTGGAGCAGGCTAGAGCTGAGCCCGACTGAAGGGAGGACAGGAAGGATGCAGAAATCTGAAGTAAGGATGAAGGTGAGCCAGGGGACAGAGGAAATGTCTTGCCAAGGGGCTGAGAGCAGGGATGGAAAGAAAGAAAGATGGGGTGAAGTCAGCTGAGAAAGGAGGGCTAGGGAACTTAGGGTTCCTGTCCTGCTCAGCTTCAGTCCCTCTATGATCACCTTTCCATATGAATTCTCAAAATCTGGGAATTCACAAAAGGTGCTAGAGAGCCATACGACTGATCATTAATTATTTTTATAACGTGAATCAATCCTGTTTGTTTAAGCTGTGTTTCAATGGGTATTGTGTAATATATTCTGTCAGTTGTAGTGTCATGTACAGTGTAATGTGTTGGAAGGGGGAAGCTTTCTGTCTAGCTAGATGGGAGTTGGTTTAACAGTCACCTGGGGGCCAGAATGGCTGGGTACTAGCCAGTCAGAGTCCGTCCATGTTGGCTGGTGCTTAGTGTTCGTGATGGACAATCAGAAGAAGACCACAGAGCAAAAGGATTTAGGGAGAAGAAAGAAGGCCTGAGAGGAAGATGGGGTGGCTTGGTGGCAGCTGAAGACTTGCTGAGGTAGCCGAACCACTTGGCTCAGGCTGAAGAGAAGATTCAGGAACCTATATACAATACAGCATTGCAGGAGAAGAGGTGAGAGGCAGCAGAAGCAACATGCACTTTGGGACACCAGGCTCTGGTTCTGAGCCTGGGTGTTTCAGCGCACTTTTCCTACCCACAAAGTTACCTGAAAAACTGCCCAAGTAGTTGCAATAGCTCTTGTGAGTGGCTTATGAGGTTTCATAAAGAGCTGCCATCAGACAAGGAAACTTCTCAGTGCTGGCACAGAAGCACTTGGGACCACAAATGTGTTGGATTAAATCAGTGCTTCCCAAACTTGGGTCTCCAGCTGTTTTCAGACCAGAATGCCCATTGTTCCTGACTAGGGGTAATGAGACTTGTAGTCCAAAAACAAGTTTGGGAAACACTGGATTAAATAAAGCATCAGTGCATGCATATGCAAGATGACTTTATCTATTACTTCATCTGGATAAACCAAATAAGAAAGAGAAGGAGAAACAAAAGCACTTTTTTATAGTGGCTAAAAAGGGTGACAGCAGGTCAACCTGAGATACACAAGAAAGACAGGAAAGGTTCAAAAGTAAATTTGTTGCAATAGGTAGATTATTAGACACCCAAACTTTCCGCAAATATTAAAACAACATCAAGCATGGATCTATAAAGCCTAATTCATTGACACACATCCAACAGAGCTTTACACTGCTCTTCTGGCTCACAGCACTGCCCCTTTCCAAGAGAAATGAGGCAACTTGTATTGAAAAAATGTCCTTTCTCTTGGATGAATAATATATAGCTACATTAACTTTTCACCCCAAAGCACATGAATAAGGTATTAAAGGCGACTGCTGATAAAATTGCTGGTAACAGCAGTACAGAAAGGGGAGCTGTGTAACTGGCAGGATGAAGAGGCCTCTCGCTTATCACCATACATAACTAAAAGATGAAACCAAGTTTATCAAATAAGTTTTTATACATATTATATTATTTATCGCATATGCTCAACCAATCCCAACTTTTCCATAGTGCATCGTTATATATCAATTTGGAACATGAGAAGAATATTCCATTATGTCCCACTGGACTCTCCTCCCACCACCAGAGAAGGGAAAAGCAGTTATTCCCCAGAATAAGGTTTTATTACAAGTACCCAGCGTGCTTTGTGTACCACACCTAACAGGTAATCATATGTCTGGAGAAACTTTGTGAAATACATATTATTATAACTCAGAATTTGACAGGGACTTATAACAAAACTTTGAGGAATCTGATGCTATTCCAATTTTTCTTCCATCAATCCATGTGGAAAAATAACTGCATCTTCCCAGGTTCTGGGTGATTTATGTCTCAGTGAACATCCTACCCAGCCTCCTATTTGTGTGCCTGACTCCTCTATGTGATTTTTGCTGTACGGTGGTAACTTGAAAACACAGCTCCATAGAGTTTGCTTCACATGCTGGCCATTGTGCAAACCAACTGCCTACCCAGTTACAGTGTTTTTCATCCAATCAAGTAAAAACTGCCAAACATGTGCAAAGCTGCTTACAAGAACACATGGGTCACCCTCCCTAGGAATGCATTTTCCAATAGCTATCAAGCCTCAAACCATTGCACACAAGGATTTTGGACTCATTGTCTAAATGATCTTGCTATTAGGAAACAGTTCAGTATGTTCTTATCTTAACATATTTGCCTAGCTTTTGACTCACAGTGTGGGCACAGTCCACAAGCCATGAAAGTCAATGGAAAAGCTACAGTTTTCATGTTTTGTTTTGTTTTTAATCCACTCTCACATTGCCTTCGACTCCTAAACGAAAAGCAGGAATAGCCAATGTGATGCCGCCCAGCTGATAAGGGACTCCAATTCCCATGATCCCTAACCACTGGTGATGCTGGCTGGGCTGATGGGAGTTGTAGTTCAGTAACATCTGGAGGTCACTCTGGGCTAAAGCATTGCTTCCTCTTTCTTTCCCTTAATTAAACACCATTTCTCTAGCTTGCCCAAACCATTTCCTGTGTCCACTGATGGTCCAAATCTCACCCCACCATTTATTATATTTGTTTAGGTTTTTTTTTTTTTTTAAAAAAAGGTTACAATTGTGTTTCAGCTGGTTGTTCCCTACTCTTGCCAAGGCAAGGCTCAACTTCAGAGTAGCCTCATACAGCCAGATTTTTACCATCATGCTGTAAAAGGAAAGAGGATCTCCAGTAATTGCATTATCAGAACTGGTTTCAACACATGATGGACTTCATGATTTTGATAAATTTGCTCAAATGTGGCGGTTACAGAATTCACTCTCAAAATGAGCTGGAAGGAACATTAGAAGCCATCTAGGAGAAACCACTCTGCTCAATGCAGGATGCAGCTACAGCAATTTTGGCAAATATTTAGACAGTCCCCACTCAAATAGCTCCAGTGAAGGAGAGAGACTACCACCTCTCAGGAGATTCTTGCTCCACTGTTGAACAGCTTTTACTGTTCCAAAGTTTCCTCTGAGATAACTCCCTGGAAGCCATTTTGGATCCTTCCACAGGAGCAAAACGGAATACTTGGATTTATGGAAATGAGGAGGGAGATCAAAATTCTTTACAAGTAGCAAAGCAATAGCATCAAGTAAAGAATGTGTTGCCTAATGAACAGGGGTATGACAAAACCAATCCAATAGTGATGAATGTGTGGCCAAAAAAATACTGGGATTCTCCACCAAGCCAAAAAAGGGGTCTCTTGATCAAGCATAACCCACAAAGCAACCTTGGGTATCTTTATGTAAACAAGATGCAGTGACTCAGCAGACATCACACCTAAAATCTAAATGTGTTTTACAAGCACACATAATTTTATTTCAGTGAGTTGGAACACAATAGAAAACAAGATTTTAAAAGGATTGCTAGAAAATAATCTCCAGTGAAATAATCCCAATGTAATATACTTTTAATTAGTTAGATATAATCTTGCCATATCTTTTTATGGGATTGTCATTAAGAGAAAAATACAAATAAAGCCCTCTGATAAATCCACAGCTGCTTTCACACTGACAGAATATTCACAGCATGCAAGTTAATATTTTACAAGAGTTATTTTCTTCTCTTTAATCCTATAAATTTCTTCCTCTCTTTAAAGGCTTCTTCTACCTACATTTGAATCCCTGCCTTTAATGAGCACATCAGGAAAACACACAGAGAGAGAACCACAGTCACATACAGCTGCCAAAAATATTGCTAACATTAGTATAAATACATTTTAATGATCAGAATGGTGCATCTCTGTGTACTTAGTCTTTCATATGCAAGCAAGCTGCAAACCAGAAAGGACAAGAAGCAGTCTTTAAATGACACAGTTCTGGGAACTGAGTCGCTCGGGAAGAAATGAGCTGTAACTGGCTGCTGCAAAGTGCTTCGGTTTCTCCCTGTGAAGGGTGGTCAGGGCAATGCCCAAGGGCATCCATTTCTGAATCCAGACCTGGGCTGGCGATTCTGAGAAACAAAACCCTGGTTGTTAGGTAGCTTACTAGTTTAAATCCCATATTTTGCCCAGGAGATCCCTTGTACAAATCCTGTGCTCCTGAAACTGATAAATAAAAACAGCAATCAACCAGCACAAGCACATTCGAAGATTGTCAAACGTTGAGGCATATCCAGTTACTAAAACTGTGCACATGATAGTGGATTATAACCATTTGGAGAACTACAAAAATCGAAGTTATCCAATGCCTCATTCCATGAAACCTGAAGGCTCAAACCGAGACCATAGCCACACATCATGTTGAACTATGTTTTAGCATGGGGGTGGCCAATGTGTTACTCTCCAGATATTGTTGGACTATAATTCCCACCATTCCCAGACAAGAAGGCCAATGTGCAGGGATGATGGGAGCTGTAGTTCAATAATATTGAGGGACACTACTTTGGATATCCCTGATTTAGCAGGAGCCGGAACAATCCTGAGGATGCCTCAGGCTTGTGCACTGCCACTGCCACTGCCATGCAGCTAAAAGCACTAACAGCAGCACTGGGGTTTACTTTTCCTGAATTTCAGCTTGTCTTGTTATCTAGCCATGGGCTTGTTACTATAATGAACTATGGTCAGTTTCGAAACAAGCCAACTTCGAGCAGTGGTTTTCAAGCTATTTGTTAAAACTAACCAGAGTTTTTAATAATCCATGCAACCTGAGTCTGGATGAAACAATCTGAGGCTGAGGGAAAGCTAGATGTCAAAGTTATCCTCGTAGTAGGAGAAAACAGAAGAGGGACATGCAAAACATAGGGTTTCTTTGGTTAATTTCATCTCATGCACTTCACACTAAATCATGGCTTAGCCATACTTTGTGCAAACTAAGCTATCTCTTAGGTATTCTGAAGCATCATCCACAGTTTCCTAAGCAATCTCTCAATGAAGCCATCAAAGGCAAGCATTCTAGGCACCAAGCTTCAACTAAAGCAGTTTTAAAGGCAAATTTAGAGGTCCTTCCTTGGGCAAACATCTTGGGTATTTTGAAAGAAAAAAACCACTTTCAGTAAGACTTACAAAACCTCCTAATGGTGGAGGGTATCTGTGCATCCTTAGTTTACTTCCCATGGAAAGTTTTAGACTGGTGAACTCTGTGGGAAATGGATGGAAATTCAGCAGTTTCTCTAGATATTCCCTTGATATTCGCAATGCTTATTATACTGCTCCATGCCTCCAAAGGTCCTTTGGACATTTCTTCTCTCACACATTCTTCTTTGTATTGAGTTGAGTTTACCTTGAGCTTGATGTGTCATCTCAATTCTAATTTTCAAGGGATTTGATGCTCCCTTTTCTTTTTACCCACTACACTCAAGCAAAGTGCTACAAAGTAGTGCTCATCATCTCAACTGCATTGAATCAGATGTTACTTCCTCCATGTGGCTATAACCAAAGATACACAATGTGAAGGACTTCAGTGAGCCTGAATTCATCCCATATTAACAGCAAGACTCCATCCAGACTTGTGTTCATTTGTGGGTGTATTCTGCAGCATTTTATTGATGCAATAATAGCGCATTAGAGGTGGATTTATACTGGGCTGTCCACATATCATTCTGCCTTATTAGTTGTTCTGCAATGCCTCTCCAGTGTTACCATATAAATTGCCATTTGGAGGGGCACTCCTGCACTGTAGCACAACAAAGGTGAGACAAAAAAACATTAAAAATAAACTGCAACATTTGCGGTTTAAAATGTTAACAGATTTCAGGAGGAAGTTAGAGAACATGCCACTGACTGGAAATGAACAGTACCAAAAGCAGGATCTCATATAACTGTCCCAATACCACCATGAGCAGAAATCATCCTAAATGCCCAAACGAAAGGACGTCAGGAGGGACACCAAAAGATGTAACTGCCAGAGTTTTCTTCCTATTACAATAGGTTTTCTTTAGTTCAACAGACTTATCTCTTTTGACAGGGAGCACTGATAAAATTATTTCCATGCAATTTAGAAATCGGGAAGTGATACGACTCACTGCACAGTGAGCCAGGCAAAGTAGAAAATCACATTCTACTCACTGATGACTTTAATTAATATCAGGATTTTCAATGGTATACATAAATTATAATTCTTGTACAAAATTTCACCCTTGCTCTCGTTTGTCCTCACACTACCCACTTTGAGGTAGTTAGACCAAGGCTGAGAACTTACAACTTGCCCAAGGGTACAAAGAAAACTAATAGTTGAGGAAAGCCTTCAAGTCTGAGCTACTTGGGTGGAGTCCAATTTTCCTCCCAATGACAACCATCTTCAAATGTTTATGTGCCACTTCAGAATTTCACAACCAGCATCAACAGAAACAATGAAGAATTGCATTAAAACTGTATCTAGACATGCTTATAGCAAATGTTAGCAGTATCATACCAAATGATATGGACCCCCAAATGTCAATAATGCTCAATTTCCAAACACCACCTGTAGTCATAGCCAACAAATCCAGATGTTGCTGACCTAAAACTTCCATCATCCATGGCCATTGGCCTTGTTGGCCAGAACTGAAAAGAGTTGGAGTCTAAAAACATTAGCTACCCTTGTCCTACTGAATGATAATACATTCCAGCTTTAAAGGGATACTGGTCAATCTCATGGTTCAGCATATATGTTATTCAAAGGACTTCTGATCCCATGTGGAAAGTAAAGTGACCTCAGTTCGAAAAAATTAGATATATTTCATGAATCGTAAGAAATAAAGGAATCAGTGAAGATCCTTTTCACTTGCACCAGGACTGCTTCAAAATGTGTTAATTATGTGATTGGGGGGTGGAGGGGAATAACTTATAAGTGACAATTATTAGTATCTAAACATGAAAGTTTATTTATGCCAGAAGACATTAAACTGCTCTTGAAAGCCGATCTTTATTATTTGGGTGGTATCCCCCCACCCTCTCTGTAGATAGAATGGAACATCCATCCAACTCTTTAAAAAATTCATGTGACAAAACAACTGCACCCCTAGGCTTGTTTAAAAATTAGTATTTTCATTGGAACATAGGGATAGCCAAATATCTCTATGGACAACCTTGGGCATGCCCATTGATGTTTCTGGCTCCCTCCCCCTTTTAACAGCAGGTCCCCACCCACCATGCCCTTCACACAACTTGTTTTTTAAAGATCCTATTTCAAAATGAAGTTTCACCAAACCAGGACCTTCAATAAACTGAAGATCAGTTGGGCTCAGATTCAACCAGGTTCTGTTTTTAAAAAAGGCTTGGCCTTTCGTTCAGGCCTTTCACTTCTAAAGAGTTACAAAAGTCCTTGGTGCTTTGCAAAGATGGATTACATCTGTGTTCCACATAACAGCCCTGTAAGGTAAGCCAATGTTGTTTGATCTTGTATGAGAAGCTGTAACAAGGAGGCAGTAGCTTGCCAGTGGGCACCCGGTGAGTTCATGGCATGGTTCACATCACATACTCTTTATCACTACACTGAATGCATGTTGCTAAGGGATAGGCTGATGTAAACAAAACACAATGCTGTGCTGAAAAAGAAAATGGGGACAATAACACACGGCCTATGTTAAGTGTCCTTCAGCCACAGGGCAAAGTAGCAACAACAAAAAATGCAAGTAAACAGCCATTCACAGGAGAGCCCCAGGAACACAGCTTCTAAATGCAGTTATTATAAAGCCACCTCCAACCTAAGCCAGTAGTACTGAAATTTCATAAGGATAATCCACTCAGTTAAGTTTCTTGCCCCATTGAACCCTGCCACCGCAAAGCCTTTATCTTTGATACTATTAAATGAAGGAAAAATTACCATACCAATTCAGCGCAGTTTATCTCGGCAAGATTCAAACAAAAATCCCATTTCTCCATGGCAAAGCTACTCACAGTTTTAGAGAGGGCATTAATTCTCCCCCTCCCAACGTAATATAAAAGGCGGGGGAGAGATGAGGATAACCACACATACATAGCATAGCATAGGGGAAATCCATTAGTTGCTATTTGTTTAGTAGCTATTACTGGAAGAGTTCAATGCCAAACAGCTGGAATAATTTAGTGCTACTTTATTTGCAATTCTCAAGTCATTCATCCACAGACCTATTGTGATGGGGGTGCTGTTGTTTTTAGCATTATGTAGCCTTTCAGAGGGGCTTGTTCGTAAGATTTCCAAACATTACATACAAATAAAAACAACTTAGATATTGTTTGTATCTAAGTTAAGCTCAGAGTAGATCCACTGAAATTAATGGATATGTTTTTAATTTAATATAATATAATTTAACATATTAAATTAATTAATATGTTAGTTGTGTCTATTGTTTCCAATGGGTCTACTCTCTGAATAAGACTGACTTTGGATAATGCTATATATCAGTTACAAATAAATGGAACAGGAGTTCAATTAAAGGAAAGGGTAAGAAATAAATTTAAGGAAGGTTAAAAAATAAATGCAGGGAGGGGAGAGAAAGAAAAGCCGCCTAATAAAAGTATAGTAGTAACCCAGCTGAAGTTAATCAATATGTTCTGGTTTATAATTTAATGAAGCATAATTATCTCATGTACCATATTTTTCTGTCTATAAGACACACCCTATTTTGGGGGACTCAGATTTAAGAAAATGGGGGGAGATGGCCCAGAGTATAAGATACCCCCTAATTTTTGATATTATTTTTAGGGGGGGGAATCTAGTCTTATACACGGAAAAATACAGTATTTATTTCATAAAATTTATATACCACTTCTTCATAAAATTCCATCAAAGCAGTT